ACGCGTGTGTGTGTGCTTGTGCGTGCGTGCGTGCGTGCGTGCGTGCGTGCGTGCGTGCGTGCGTGTGTGTGTGTGTGTGTGTGTGTGTGTGTGTGTGTGTGTGTGTGTGTGTGTACATCATGCATTGTGTAACTGACTGATAATTAAAACAACGTCATTTGATCATTATATCATTATCTCTACACGCGCTCAATAGAGGTTAATCACCGCACTGTTTCTGCTCGTTATTATGATTCATTCTTCTATTCATCATTACACTAACGCGTGATTCGTTTATTGTTTGCAGATCGTGTGTGCACGGGACTACGATGTTGGAACGACAGTCACATATCAGGAAATGTATGAAAAAAGATTTACATCAATTCATGATACGGCGCTGTGTTTAGCCGCACACGCGCGCCAGTACGCACGAACATACATCTAATTAAAGAACGTGCTGACAGGTGGCGACAAGAGTCGCATTGCAGAAAGCTGCTATGCTGCGACTAACTTCGGATTCCTGGTGATCCTCACGTGAATAGAGACGCGGCTCTGGATACGGTAGCAGCAATGAAGCCGGATAAGACATGTGTGTCGGCGGCTAGCGACACCTCGCACTCGTGGGGCGAGTGGACGCAGCAGCTTCAAGCCTACCTCACCTGGGTCAACTCGCAGCTACGAAAACACGAGAGTTCTCGGCAGGTGTGCGACCTGCGGACGGACATGTGCAGCGGTGTCGCGCTGGCGCATCTGGTCGAAGTGATAGCTGGTATGACTCAGTGTTTACTCACGAATTAGTTTTTTTACCAATTTATTCTGTTTGTTAGACAGTTGGAGAGTATGGCGGTTCCGCGGTAACTAGCGTAAAAAAATCGTTCGATAGCCATGATGCATGCACACCTCCGTTATCCAGCCTATTCTGCCATTCATTTGTTCACATTGAAAACGGGTAGCTTTTGACGTGAATGGATTTTATGTTGCGAAGAATGTGAAAGTTTGATCGAGCAGCCGCAACGTAGTTAAGCGTCTAACTCAAGCTTCCAATACCGTCATTCAACGGTCACGTAATTCCTAGCTGAATCATAGTGCGCTTCAATGACCAAACTCTCTCGCATGAGTCTTTGGGTTTGCATTTCGTTTGTTTGCGTATTTGTTCAGTTTAACATTCCTTTCTCGGTGTAAATGTCTCACCATCTGGCTGCCGAGGCTTGACGCTATAATAGGATCTTTATCCTTTTTGCTGACATTTGCCATTACAGGCAGTCAAGCAGTCCGCGTTCAATCACTCTTTGTTCGAAGCTAATGCGCGTAGTAAAATCTATCTAAACTACACGACGCTCTTTGTGCTACGTCTCCCCGATATCGTCAGGTTTTCCTTGACTATCCTGTCTTGTTAATTGCAAAGTAAACTTAGACCGAATCGCAGCCTTCCCATGTAGGCGCTAGCCGGATTATGGCGCTTATAACTGCCGCCACGCCGCCACTGGCGCACTTTCATTTTACCTCTACCGAATTTTAACAAATACTCATACCGTGCATTTACACACACGTTCGCGCGCACGCACACATGCACGCACGCACGCATCGCTGTTGATCACGAGGGCACGAGAAAGCTGGTTTTGCGTAATAGCTGAGATTTCACTCTGGCGGAGGTGGAAAGCGCCGGATATCACAGCGGAAAGTGAGCGCAAGAGGGAGAGAGAGAGTACACTAAGCAGTGATAAAGACACTCAAAGATTGCGGGAGAGAGAGAGAGCGCGCTAAAGAGAGAAAAAAGGAGTGGGAGAGCGAGCGAGCGGGCGAGAAGTAAGAGACAAACAGAGAGGGCGAGAGAGAGGGGGGAGAAAGAGGGCGGCGATAGACAGAGAGAGAAAAACAGAAACATAGAAAGATAGAGGGGCCGGAGGTGGAGGAGATCGCGCGCGCGCGCGCGAAAGAGAGAGAGAGAGAGAGAGAGAGAGAGAGAGAGAGAGAGAGAGGAGGGAGAGTAGCGTGCGCGCGAGAGAGGAGGAGGAGAGAGAGAGAGAGAGAGAGAGAGAGAGAGAGAGAGAGTAGTACGTACGACGTACGGTCGGACGACGTACGGACGAACGTAACGTAACGTAC